CAGACAGTTCAGCTATACTGATTTTTAAGTTACAGTTAGAAGATCTTGAACCTTCAGAAAAGAGCTCTCTCACCTTGAAACCATCAATTAGCAAAATCACAACAGACAAAGAGTAAAAGATGAGAGATGAAGCTGAACATTTTATTTATTTATTTGATTTGTCAATCACTTACAAAGTAATAGGTATAAGTATTAACATGAGTAAGAATACACAAAATAGGTATGATTAAATGGGGACAATAGGACAGGAATGGGAGGCACGATGGTGCACTTATGCACGCCCCTTAACATGAGTGCATGATATTGAATGAACCAAGATCCAGTTTGTTCCTCACCATAATTACACTGATTGTTGATTTTTTTTTCATTGCACTGAAAAATTAGCAATAAGGAAACCAGGTTCAACTTACTTGCATTAACATTCTAGAACCTGGAAGTCACGCTGAAGAAAATCTTGCTTTTTGTTTTCACCCATTTTGGCATTCAGTACTGTTACAGATAATCCTTGACTTAAAACAATTTGTTTAGTGACTATTCGAAGTTACAGCATCACTGAAAAAAAGTGATTTATGACCATTTTTCACACTACCGACCATAGTCACATGGTGAAAATTCAGATGCTTGGTAACTGATTCATATTTATGATGGTGGAAGTATCCTGGGGTTATGTGATCCCCTTTTGCAAACTTCTGAGAAGCAAAGTCAATGAGGAAGCCAGATTCAGTTAACAACCAAGTTACTAACTTAACAACTGCAGGAAGGAAGATCATAAAATGGAGCAAAACTCACTTAACAAATGTCTCACTTAGCAACAGAAATTTTGGCTTCAATTGTGGTCCTAAGTTGAGGACTATCTCTACTGATCTGCATGGCCAAGGTAAAATTACCGTGGTCCTTAATCCCAAACTGTTAGCATTTTAAAATAAAAAATGCAACAACCTGAACTAGACTAAGAAACAGCTCTCATCTATATTATTGTTTTAGAAAAGCCTGAAAGCTACAATTTTAAGATATTTAAGAATTAAATGCTTATAATTCTAAACCTAGTTTTTACAGGTTACCACCATGAAATAAATCCATATTTAAGGTAGTCTTCTTCAAAATTAATACTGAGTAGTAGCAGGGGTGGGATTGTACCAGTTTGCACCTATTCTCTGGAACCGGTTGTTAACATTCTAAGCCGTTCGGAGAACTGGTTGTTGGAAGAAATTACTGGCCTAATCCTGTAAGGAAGGCAGGAAGGAAACATTCTGATGTTGTTTACAGAAACTGCCTCTCCATTAACCCTTATTACATTCTTAGCAGGACTAGACTTCCTGTCTCAGGAACTTCTCTGGAGTTGTTTCCTCTCCTTTGCTGGTACTTTGCTTGTGTGGAGTGACCATTTAAAGTTACAATGGCACTGAAAAAAGTGACTTATGACCATTTTTCACACTTACGACTGTTGTAGAATGCCCACAGTCATGAGGGGCCAGGTGAGGAGAAGCGTGCTTTAATGTGAGTGATATTGAGTTGGCCACACCCAGACAATAACATGACCATCAAGCCATGTGCACCCAGTCACATGACCACCAAGCCGCGTCCACCACCTAAGCCATGCCCACAGAACCGGTTGTTAAAATTTTTGAATCCCACCCCTGAGTAGCAGTTAGATTTTATCCTTGAGTTACAAATTTGAATATTCCCATTAGATATTCTTGGTTAAGAATGTGCATTTAGATGATTGGGTTTTCTTTTCTTTCCCTTTTTTAAAAAAAAAACGAAAAGAGTTCTCCAATTTATAATCCCTGTAGCTTGATTCAAGGCATGTAACTTACTTCAACTATTAGGCTCAGAATGAACAAGAGAAATGGCAGATAGTGATATATAAGATCTCAAGAGATCTTCTGACAAATTCTCACGATTATTGGCACAATTTCTCTGCTCTGCTCCCAGAAGGGAAATAGATTCTATGGCAGTTGAAATGTGTATTATTAAACTTCTTAAGTGATCCAGAATGTTTCCCAATAGGCATTGAAAAATTTTCTAAGTATAGCAAAGTTGAAATTCTTAGGTCTTTCCCATTCAACCCCCATTCGATTCCATCCAACAATCTTTAAACTGGCCTATCATTATTCCATTAAAATAAATCAAAATCCATGTCACCAGAGCTTATTACAGCTATGTAGGGTACTTCCATTCTGTTCTGCTAAAGACAGCCAGATGGGAAAATCTGAGGCCAGATAAAAAGCTGAATTGGCACCAGGTTTAACTTCACATTCCAATAAAACAAAGTTGCAATGCTAAAGGGTTTTGCTCACTATGCTATGACCATTTCCAGTTTGTACCTCCTGGAACTCTTATTTTTTATTTTTTGGTAGTTCTCCGAATTGTGAGGTGCTGATTAAAAGAAGAAGATAAGCCATCTTTTAATTATGAAGTTTAACATAACCAGAATGTTTACAGCTGAAAACAATCGTGTCATTATGTGATATGTATCTTGTGCAAAAAAAAATCATAAATCCATAATTAACTACCAATTTATTATTTTTAAAAAAGAAAAGCAGACGAATGGAGAAATGCAGAGGAATAGATTTCCAAAAAACTTCAAGGAACTAATATGAGTCAGAAATGGTTGGGCATTCTCTTTGGCCAAGTACCTCTGATGGTCCTATTAATGGCAGGCAGAGGATTGCAAAATGTCTTCCATTTTGAATTTCTCTTACTGACCTGATGATTGAATGAAGAAGGGAGCAGGATGGACATGTTGAAGTGGCAAATTATTTACAATTTGGGTAAACAGAGATTTTCATTGAGTTCTTCTCCTGATGACTCCATGGAATCTTTTTGTGGTTTTCTTGGAAGTTAACCACTTCAGTGCTTTAGTGCCTCCTTACATTTGTCCAACTTCCCATCTACTCTACAATGCTGAGATACCTGATAGTCTTCTGGAAGCCATCTTTGGAGATGGCATTGTAATTGGTTCTATTCAGCCAATTTAAACTATAAATATTTGGAGACCTCTTGAGAAATATGGGTGTGGACCATTTTGTTGATGTAGAGTGAGTGCAATAATTATTCTCTAAATTAATGCATATCAAAATATGATGATCTGATCATCTTTGCTTAAATCATTTTGCAATGATTTTTGCATTTTTGCATATATATTTTTTTGGCTTTTCTCTGACTTCATTTTTTTCTGTCCAAAGCCACATCTGTAGTTGTATTGAACACCAAGATACCGATTTGATTGAAAGGAAAAATAAAACCAGTGATCTTCTCCAGGATTTGCCCTTTATTGGGAAACCTCTGAATTAGACTCTTTTAGTCCTTCTGACATATCAAGCTGGAACAGAATTAGAGAAGAAATTCTACATTACAAGATAATGTAGTTCCTTCTGGATGACCAAGATGGTTCTTTAAGGGTTATTCATTGCTTTGCAGCAATATTGTAATCTCAAAACAATCTTAATTGTCTAAGAGATCTATTTTATCATTTCTTGCTCAGCAAAGTTGATAATTGATTATTTGATTGATTTAATTTATTTGATTTGATTGATTTGATTTGATTGATTTGATTTGATTGATTTGATTTGATT